CGGGGAGCCACCTGGGCCGCCAGCCGGCGCTCGGAACGGTGGCTCTGGACGAGCGGGCCCTGCGCCGACTCGCGGTCTCCGGGGTCCCAGTGGTCCGCGGTCCTCGGATGCCGTGGGGGCGCTGCGAGCGAGGCCGGCCCCACGCCGGTGTCACTCCTCCCTCGTCCTCCCCGCCCCCCCCAGTCCTAATTAGGACAAACCAGGGGCCACTCTGGGTCAGAACGTGGGACAGGAACGCCCACGGGGACAGGGAGTAGTGCCCAGTTACCCATCAAAGGCAGAGAGGGGACGGCGTGGCCAGTGCAAAGCCGGGCTTCGTGCGCTCCAGACTGTGGTGTCCTGCGAAACGGGAGGTGGGGAGCGGGGAGAACAGAGAACAAAGTTTGTGCACGGTTACAGTTCTGAACAGAATCATGGTGGCAGCCGCGGTGGTGTGGAAAGGTGGACTTCAGAGCACGCGCACTCTCTTTACACCTCTCAGGAGAACACACTGTGACTGCTCCCTGAATCCCAAACCGCTATGGAAGGGCATCGTCCCTACTGGGAATCAGGATCAGACCACTTCTAGGTCTGGGCTTGTTTTTCCCCCTCTAACTGCATATCTGAGTATAGTGCTTTTTTTTTTTTTAAGCAGACTTTAAATAAAGCACATTTTTCCTTTTCTCTTTTTTGGTGATACTGGGGTATGAATTCAGGATTTTATACTTTCCAAGCAGACACAGTTAGAACCATGCCGCCAGCCTTTTCTGCATAGTTTACTTTGAAATAGGGTTTATGCCTCCTGCTGTAGCCAGGTTAACATGTGTGTCCTTTTGTGTCCAGCTGTTAGTTGAGAAGAGGGTCTTATAGACTCTGTGCCTGAACTGGCCTGGAAACACCATACCCCTAATTTTAACCTCTTGAGTAACTAAGATTACAGGTGATATCCATGGCACCTGATGTAGACTTCGTTATAATGCTGCAGAGATCAGATAGTAAGAAAGATATAAATGTTTGTTAAATGTTACATGATGCTAGTATTTTCTTCCACTAAAAAGCCTAGGATGACAATGGTAGTTTGAAATGAATTTTTTTTTCCTTTTTTTGTGGGTGGTGGTGGTGCTCAAACTCTGGGCCTGGGCGCTGTCCCTCAGCTCTTCAGCTCAAGCCTATCGCTCTACCACTTGAGTCACAGCACCACTTCTGGTTTTCTGGTGGTTCATTGGAGATAAGAGTCTCATGGACTTTCTTGCCCGGGCTGGCTTTGAACTGAGATCCTCAGATCTCAGTCTCCTGAGTAGCTAGAATTACAGGTGTGAGCCACCTGCGCCCGGCTAATTGACTGTCTTTTCTAATTGATTACCATATGATTATTTTTTCCTTCTCAGAATGTAGTTGGAGGGAGGGGGCGTTGTTCAGTTTTGTTGCTGGAGATTTAAGCCAGGGCCTCCTCATATCCATAGGCTTGCCTCCTAGCACTGAGTTATACCTCCTGCCTAGACTTTGTTGTTGTTTAACCATCATACATCCAGTGCTTGGTTTACATAATGTCCAGCAAATACAAGTATTTTCTGAATTAATATAACAGCTCTGTCAAATGTGATGTCAGCTTCTGTTTACAGACTTGGAAACTGAGGCTCAGCAGAGCTACTTCCAAAAGGTCAGCATAACATTACAGAGCTTCATCAAGCTAACTTCCAGATAAGACAAGTTATCAGTTTGAATTTTACTCACTGTGGTATCCAAACTATACAATCAAATAGTAAGGTATTAGTGACACTAATTCTACTTGGATATCTCTTCCTATGAAAAACTTTCCAAATATGACCATATTGATCATTTTCAAAGTATTTTAATTAAGAAAATCTGATAACTTCCCGTTTTGCTGGGTATGATAGTACACCCTATAATCCTAACACTTTGGAGGCTAAGGCCAGAGTATCCAGAGTTCAAGGTCAGCCTGGGCTCTATATTGAGAAACTATAAAACAGTGGAACAAATATAAAAATAAAACTTTTAAAGGAGTTTTAATATTTTTTTTTTATTTTAGGAGGATTTGGCAAAAAAAACGGTCGTAGCAGGAAATGGAGGGAAATGCTAAAGTTGCCCCCTATCAGCCAGTGTAGTGAGCTGAAACACGTCATTGGTGAGTAACAGTCCCTGCTTCTGTCTGGAGGGTAGGATTGGCATTGCATCATTAATTAGATTTTACTTTTTCTTTTTTTTGTGGTGAATTTTTTTTTTTTTTTTGTCGGTCATGGGGCTTGAACTCTGGCCTGGGTGCTGTCCCTGAGCTCTTCAGCTCAAGGCTAGTGGTCTACCACTTGCGCTACACTCCCAGTTTTCTGGTGGTTCATTGGAGATAAGAGTTTCACTGACTTTCTTGCTGGGGCTGGCTTTTGAACTGCTATCCTTAGCTCTCAGCCTCCTGAATAGGTAGGACTACAAGTGTGAGCCACCAGTGCCCAACAGATTTTACTTTTTCTTGAGCTCCTTGTTTTAAACATTTTATGATAAATTCTACTTACATGAGCTTTCTAATCTGTAGTTAGTTATTAAGTATATCACTATTTTTGTTTATCTTTTTTTTTTTTTTTTTGCTTAAGGCTAGTGCTTTTCCACTTGAGCCACAGCTTCATTTCCTGCTTTTTTTTGGTAGCTAAGTGCAGACAAAGAGTCTTAAGGACTTTCTTACCCAGGCTGGCTTTGAACCTTGATCCTCAGATCTCAGCCTCCTGAGTAGCTGGGATTATGAATGTGAGCCAGAAGCTCTTGGCACTGATTTTTTTTCATTAGAAGCATTCTTTTAGGGATTAGGTAGGAGCTCTTCCAGCCTCTCTTTAAGGTAGAATCTTGCTATATACTTGGGCCAGCCAGGCTGCAGTCCTGCCACCACACCAGACCACACTACACCCAACCATTGGTTGAAAAGGGAGTCTTACAAACATTTTATTTTATATATATATTTTTGGGTCTGGTCGTGGGGCCTGAACTCTGGGCTGGGCACTGTCCCTCAGCTCTTCAGCTCAAGGCTAGCGCTCTACCACTTGAGCCACAGCGCCACTTCTGACTTTTTTTCTTTTTGCTTATGTGGTGCTGAGGAATCGAACCCAGGGCCTCAGGCATGCAAGGCAAGTGCTCTACCACTGAGCCACCTTCCAAGCCCAGTCTTACAAACTTCTGTGCCCAGACTGGCCTCAGACCACAATCTCCTATGTCTGCCTCTCAGATATCTGGGATTACAGGCTTGAGCCATGGTGCCTATCTTAAAAATGGTTTTTTATGGGGCTGGGAAGGTGGCTCAGTGGTAGAGCGCTTGCCTTGCAATGCATGAGGCCCTGGGTTCAATTGCTCAGCACCACATAAGCAAAAAGAAAAAAGCCAGAAGTGGCGCTGTGGCTCAAGTGGTAGAGTGCTAGCCTTGAGCTGAAGAGCTGAAGGACAGCACCCAGGCCCAGAGTTCAGGCCCCACAACCGGACCCCCCCCAAAAAAATGGTTTTTTATGTTGTTGTTTTTGCCAGTCCTGGGGCTTAAACTCAGGGCCTGGGCACTGTCTGTTAGCTTTTTTGCTCAAGGCTGGTGCTCTATCACTCAAACCATAACTCTACTTTCTCCAGCTTTTTTTTGTATGCATCTGCATCACAATCATAGTTTTTCCACTAGGAAAAGCTGAGATTATACAGTGTGTACCACTGTGCCCAGCTTCTTTGATTGAAATGAGTCTCATGGACTTTTACTGCCTTGATTGCCCAGTAAACTATCACCCTGTCAGTCTCAGCATCTGCATAGGTAGTATGACAGTCATGCACCCCTGTACCCAGATAAGAAGGAGTGACAAAAAGTCTTTTTGCCCAGACTAGCCTTCAACCACAATCCTCTTGATCCCAGCCTTCTTAGTAGTTAGTAGTACGGGCACAAGCCACCACATACTTCTGCCTGAATATTTTGAATGTTCTTGATAACACAGTTTAAATTAGTAAACAGAACAATAGTTTTAAAAAAATAATACTGTGAATACTATTTTTTACTTTTATTGTATCAAGTAAAAACAGTAAGATTCAGAACAGCACTTAGTGGATTATAACCACAGTATTTGCTTGTTTCTCATTTCCTTCTTTACCCAGAAAAGGATTTTAGCAGTCTTTGTGAAAAGCAGCCAATAGGAAGACTTCTCTTCAGGAAATTCTGTAGTACAATTCCAGATCTAAAGCTATGTATTGAATTCTTGGATGCAGTGGTAAGTAGTTCATTTCAGTGTTGAACTGCCCCATCTGTGTTTTTGAATTAGACCTGGATAATGATATAGCAGTAGATAAACTAGTTATATGGTGTCATATTATCTTCTTAGTCTGGAAATCACTTTAATATGAAGTGATTTGTTTCATGTGGCATGTTCAGGTGCTGGGACAATCTCATCACTAGGTGACTGAATCATGATGCTTTTATTTATATGAAGGGTAACAGGCTAATACCTGAAAAGCACCCTTGCTGGCAGGGTGCCATATTCTTTTTTCTATTTGTTGGTCATGGGGCTTGAACTCTGGGCCTGGGTGCTGTCCCTCAGCTCTTTAGCTCAGGGTTAGCACTCTACCACTTGAGCCACAGCACCACTTTTGGTTTTCTGGTTGTTCATGGGAGATAAGAGTCTCATGGACCTTCCTGGCTTTGAACCGAAATCTTCAGATCTCAGCCTTCTGATTAGCTAGGATTACAGATGTGAGCCACTGGCGCCCAGTGGGGTGCTATATTCTTCTTTGGCAAGATCCTATAAACCCAAAACACTTTTAACCCAGAAACATATGGAAGGGGTAATGTTACTGTAATCGTGATACTCATGAACTGACATTTTGAATTGAAACCACTTTGTGCAACTACTTAAGATAATAATAGTGATAATGATGATAAAGATGATCACCTTGTATGGAATGTAATTTCCTTATAGGTGAATAGTTTTATGTTTCAAAATGTATATGATGGGCTGGGAAGGTGGCTCAGTGGTAGAGTGCTTGCCTTGCATGCTTGAGGCCCTGGGTTCGATTCCTCAGCACCATATAAACAGAAAAAGCCGGAAGTGGCACTGTGGCTCAAGTGGTAGAGCGCTAGCCTTGAGCTGAAGAGCTCAGGGAGAGCGCCTAGGTCCAGCGTTCAAGCCCCATGACTGACAAAAGCAAATGTATATGACTATCGCTGGCAAATCTAGAGTTTTAAAACTATGAAATTCAGAAATAACTGATCAGATCCTGGGGCTGGTGGCTCACACCTCTAATCTAGCTACTCAGGAGGCTGAGATCTGAGGATTGCAGTTCAAAGCCAGCCCAGGCAAGAAAGTCTGTGAGACTCGTGTCTACAATTAACTAAGGGAAAACCAGAAGTGGTACTGTGGCTCAAAGTGTTAGGACACTAGCCTTAAGCAGCAGAACTCAAGGACAGCACCCTGGCCCTAAGTTAGAACCAACTACCAATAAAAAAGAGAGAGAGGGACAATTGATCAGGCTGAGTACTGGTGACCCAGCCCGTAATCCTAGCTACTCTTAGGAAGCTGAAATCTGGAGGATTGCATTTTAAGGCCGGCTCTGGCAGAAAAGTACATAAAATTTAATTTCTAGTTAACCAGCAAAAATGTCATACTGGAACCTGGCGCCAGTGGCTCACGCCTGTAATCCTCGCTACTCAGGAGGCTGAGATCTTAGGATCAAGGTTCAAAGCCAGCCCCAGCAAGAAAGCCTGTGAAACTCTTATCTCCAGTGAACCACCAGAAAACTGGGAGTGTCACTGTAGCTCAAGTGGTAGAGCGCTAGCCTTGAGCTGAAGAGCTGAGGGACCGCACTCAGGCCCAGAGTTCAAGCCCCACGAACCGACAAAAAAAAAAAAAGTCATTTCAACCATACCCCCTGAAGGTATGGTTGAAATGTTAGAGCACCAGCCATAAGCAAGAAACTGGGCAAGAATTCAAGCCCCTAAGTTCAAGCCCTGGTACTGGCATAAAAATAAGTAACTGATTTGTAGAAAATGGGTAAATTCAGCAGAAAGGCTGAATATATTGAGTATTTATTCATATTTCCTCAAATAGCTTTTTCTTTTCTTTTTCTGCCAGTTCTGAGACTTGAACTCTGGGCCTGGGCACTGTCCCTAAGCTTTTTGCTCAAGGGGAACACTTTTGTTTATTTGCTTCCTATTCTTGAGATTTCCCTATCGCTTTCCTCTCTGACGTATTATATTTTTATTTTTTATTTATTTTTTTGGGTTCGGTCGTGGGCCTGAACTCTGGGCCTGGGCTCCGACCCTCAGCTCTTCAGCTCAAGGCTAGCGCTCATCCACTTGAGCCACAGCGCCACTTCTGGCTTTTTTTTCTGCTTTTGTGGTGCTGAGGAATCGAACCCAGGGCCTCATGCATGCAAAGCAAGCGCTCTACCACTGAGCCACCTTCCCAGTCCTGTATTATATTTTTAAAGATAGAGTCCTGACTCAGTGGGGAATGGCAGGTTTGTTCCAGACGTGGGATGTGAGTGCGAGTTTTCTTATAGTGAGTTGTATTTGCCTAACTGCTGTATAGTAAGAATTTAGGGATTAACATTTTTTGGTGTATATTAAAGCGGCTACACTGCATTGTTACCATTCTATTTTAAGTTTAGATTCTTGGATATATATTGTCATGATACCAACTAGTTATTAGGTATTTGTCGGTTGACCATTGGCAGATCTTGTTTCTATCTCCCTTTTGGTAGTGGTGTGATTTTCTGCAGAACATGTTGTTTTGACTATCATATTCCTGAGTGGACTACAGCATATTTATTTCCCCTTCCTGGTACCAGAACAAAGAGTTCGGTGTTTCTTGAATGGTTTAGTGGTATGTATCAATCAGGGTTCAACCAGAGAACCAGAGCCAGTTGAAGATATAAAGAGGCTTTTATTATGTAAGGAATTGGCTTGCAAGGTGATGGGCTCTAAGAAAGAAAAATGTGGAATGGATATCAGGAAAAGCATAATGGAACTCAAGGGATGGACCACAACTTCTGTCTTCAGGTAGAACTCTCAGGGAAGTCTCAGATCTCTTCTTAACCCTTTACCTGACTAGGTAAGATCCACCCAGATTATGTAGGATAATCTTCCTTACTTCAAGTCAATTGAAGAAAGGGGGAAAACTTCCCAACAGATTAAAAGAAAGTTCAATTTCCACTCCACGCCTTCAAACACAAAGGAATTAGTGAGCAAGGCTGAAAGTTTATTTGGCTTACTATCAGACAACGTGTGCAGAAGGTAAAGCTGACTATACTGACCTATCACCTTCCCCCCACCCCCAATGCACAAAATCAAGCAACTTTTTTTTGTCGGTTGTGGGGCTTGAACTCTGGGCCTGGGCGCTGTCCCTCAGCTCTTCAGCTCAGGCGAGCACTCTACCACTTGAGCTACAGCGCCACTTCCGGTTTTCTGGTGGTTTATTGGAGATAGGAGTCTCACGGTCTCTCCTGCCCGGGCTGGCTTTGAACCGCGATCCTCAGATCTCAGCCTCCTGAGTAGCTAGGATTACAGGCGTGAGCCACCAGCGCCCGGCTCAAGCAACTTTTTTTAACCATTATGAGCAGAGTTTCCAATTTTTATTTTCTATTTTTAGTATTGGAGTTTGAACTCATGATCTTGTACTTGCTAGGCAGATATTTACCACTTTGTGGCATGCTTCAACCGCTGTTTTGTTTTCTTTCTTTCTTTCTTTCTTTCTTTCTTTCTTTCTTTCTTTCTTTTTCTTTCTGTCAGTCATGGAGCTTGAACTCAGGGCCTCGGCACTGTCTTTGAGCTCTTTTTGCTCAAGGCTAGTACTCTACCACTTCAGCTACAACTCTGTTTCAGCTTTTTGGTGATTTATTGGAGATAAGTATCTCAAGGACTTTCCTGGCTTCAAACCATGATCCTCAGATCTCAGCCTCCTGAGTAACTAGGAGGAGCATGAGCCACTGGTACCTGGCTATTTCTCTGCTTTTATAGCTCAGTTCTATAGTGCTACTACTTAAGCCATGCTCCCACTTTGAATTTCTGGGCTTTTGTTTTTTGTTTAATTTTGGAGATAATCTCTCTGCCTTGTTTACCCCTGGCTGTTTTCAAAGTCAGATCTCAGCCTACTTAGGTGCTAGGGTTATTTATAGTCTTGAGTCAGGGGTGCCCAGCTTTTTAAATTTTGGGTGTAGCCTTTTACTCAGAGCTATCCTTGGACCTCAGTTATCCTGCTCATAGCTTCCTGTATGGTGGGATCACAATATGAGCCACCACACATAGCTTATTTGTTGAGATGGAGTCTCTAACTTTTTCCCAGGCTAGTCTTGAACAGTAATTCTTCTAATCTACACCTCTTGAGTCATTGAGATTACAGAAGTGAGCTATTGAGCTTAGCCTCCAAAGTAGTTTTTATCATTTATTTAAATAGCTGCTTAAATTTGAGGAGGAGAAGCTGTTATGATCATTAAAGAAAACAAAACATGAGCCCAATACTGGTGGCTCACTCCTGTAATCCTAGCTACTCAGCAGGCTGAGATCTGATCAAATCCAGGCCTGGCAGGAAAGTGAATCCCAGAAAACTAGAAGTAGCACTGTGGCTCAAAATGGTAGAGTGTTAGCCTTGAGCAAAAGAGCTCAGGGACGGCCCCCAGGCCCTGAGTTCAAGTGCTATTAGGGAGGAGTGGCAAGAGGGTAAAGAAGAAACATTTTCCATTGGACTCTGAAAAGTCTGGGTAGGAAAGATGAGAGAATATTTGGAAGAGTAAAACTAAGGAAGAAGAAAAGTAGGGCAAAACAGAAAGGCAACACAGACAATTAGGAGATCGTTTGCAGCTCTAGCCCTGTGCCCTTGGTCGGGGGAGAGGGGAGCCGCAGCCTCCACCATAAGGAAACCTGGAGGCATCTGTGACCCACACCTCTCCCAAACCTTAAACCCTGGTACCAGGACTTTATGGGACAGTCGCTCCTCCAGTATTGCAGGCTCACATCAGACAAGATAAAGTGCAGAGGATATGGTGGGGGTAAGGTGGAGGGGATGAATTTGTTCAAAGCACACTGTATACATGTGCATATATGGAAGCACCACGGTGAAACCTTCTCGTATTGCAAATGTATGTTAACTCAGAAACAAAAGACATGAAATGTGATAGATCGAACATGCAGTCTCACATGGCTTCCAGCCGCCAGTTCCATGACAAAGCAGAGGAAAGGGATTCACCCGAATGCCCCCACCCTTCAAAAGCCTCAGACTTGTGATAACAGCCAAGGTCTGTCAGTTTCAGAGTAGCATCAGGCACAACCAGTGGCATACCTGGTGAGTGCTGTGTGTGAAAATAAAAGCTGTGTGCATGGGTGCAGGAAGGGTAAACCCAGGTGTCACCTTTTCCCCCAGAGACCTTCCTTGAGGTCTATCTGTCCAACACCTCTCCATGACAGAAGTATCCTCCAGGACCAAAAGTGGATCTCAGAGCCAGAGAGGCTCTTTTTGGTCCCACAGTGTATAATACTGTAGGATTCTGTGTGCTGAACCAGGTACCTGTATGGTAAGCTTTTCATATTTGAAGAGTAGTTACTGGGAGCTGTGTGGATGGTGACTCCAGCACCATCTTTCTGCACAGATACACCTGCTGGCCTAAATGGCTAGTCTGGAGTAGTTCACACTCCCACAAACTACCCTCCCAGAGCTTCGAGGACCTTCAGGGTTAGATCCTTTTCTGGTAAGGGTGTAAGCCTCATACAGGATAAAATTTAGTTTCATTCCATTTGGTCAGGACACACCAGACCCAGAAAGTCTTTCAGAGTTGTCAGGAGCTAATGAATACGTGATTACGTGTATCAGCTGGTGGAGGATATCATTTGTTCTTTATGTGTGGGTGACTGTGTACATGCATGGAAAAATCACAGTAAAAGCCCCTCATGTATATTACCTCAAAAATAACAAGACTTACCCTGGGAGCTCTGGTTCCAGCTCTCCAAGCAATCCATGGACATTTCTTAAGTGTTATTACCTAGTACATTTTACTTAGATTTAGGTAATGGCTACAAATATAATGAAGCATGGAGAGATGATGGAAATAATTGTTCTACAATTTCATTAACTCCCTTTTAATAATTAACAAGCTGGGCACTGGTGGCTCACACTTGTAATCCTAGCTACTCAGGAGACTGAGATCTGAGGATTGTGGTTCAAAGCCAGCCCAGGCAGGAAAGTCTGTGAGACTCTTATCTCCAATAGACCACCAGAAAACCGGAAGTGGCGCCGTGGCTCAAGTGGTAGAACACTAGCCTTCAGCTGAAGAGCTGAGGGACAGTGTTCAGGCCCAGAGTTCAAGCCCCATGACCAACAGGGAAAAAAAATTGTTTAGGGGTTGGGAATGTGGTCTAATGGTAGAGTGCTTGCCTAGCATGCATGAAACTCTGGGTTCTATTCCTCAGTACCACATAAACAGAAAAAGCCAGAAGTGGTGCTGTGGCTCAAGTGGTATAGTGCTAACCTTGAGCATAGAGAGGCTCAGGGACAGAGCCCAGGCCCTGAGTTCAAGCCCCAGGACTGACAAAAAGAAAAATTAACTGTTTATATGCGAGTGTAGCTCATGGGTTCAGTGTGGTGCGGTAAATGCTTAGCATGTGTAAGCCCCTGGAATCAGTCTTTATTTTAATTTTTAAATTGTTGTTATAAAGGTGATGTGTAGTAGGGTTACAATTATATAACTCAGATAAAGAGTACATTTCTTTTATTTATTTATTTATTTTTTGTCGGTTGTGGGGCTTGAACTCTAGGCCTGGGAGTTGTCCCTGAGCTCTTCAGCTCAAAGTTAGTGCTCTACCACTTGAGCAACAGCACCACTTACGGTTTTCTGGTGGTTAATTGGAGATGAGTCTCACAGACATTTCTGCCTGGGCTGGCTCTGAACTGCGATCCTCTGATCTCAGCTTCCTGAGTAGCTAGGATGACAGGCTCCCAGCCTAAGAGTACATTTCTTTTTCGACAATATTTCCTTTTTCCTCACTCTGTCCCAGTTTTTCCCACCCATCCCACCCACAGTTGTACAATTCATTTTTAACATAGTATTTGGACAGTTTTATTTCCTCATATTTCTTAGATTTTCAAAGAACAGCCATTGAGGTACATGATCAGTAGAAGTGCTCTCTGGTTCTGAGGGTGTAAAGCCAATTCCATAGATCACAGAATTGAAACAATATGAAACATTGGTGGAAGAAGACAAATAACATTCTCCTTTCCCCATCACCTCCAATCAGGCAGAGTATGAAGTCACCATTGATAAGGATCAGGAAGGTTGTGGACTAGCAATCTTGGATAGATTCTTCAGTAAGGAGGTAGGCTTTGTTCTTTAGAATAAATTACTTTTTAATAATTGAAGTGTGTAGATATTTTTAATTTTGATAAGATAAAACAAAAGTCTTAATTCCTTTTATTGTTAGTTTTTTGTGATACTAGGATTTGAACCAAGGATCCCATTCTTGCATAGGCAAATGTCCTACCATTTGAGCCACCCTTCCAACCCTTAAATTTTTGTTCTGAGTCAGTGAGGAAATCAGTAATTAAATCCCAGATGGGAGCCAGTAGCTCATGGCTATAATTCTACCTATTTCAGGGGGCTGGGATCTGAGGATCACAGTTCAAAACCATCCTAAGCAGACAAATTTGGGAGACTCTCATCTCCAATTAACCAATAATAAGCCAGAACCAGAGACATGGCTCAAGTGGTAGAGTACTAGCCTTGAGTGAAAAAGTCCAGCCAGAGCATGAGGCCCTGAGTTCTAACCCTAGTACTGGTCCACCTGGCGCTCGCCCATGCGTGCGCATTCACACACACACACACACACACACTATAATATAAATAAATTATTGGGGCTAGGAATGTGGCTTAGTGGTAGAGTGCTTGCCTAGCGTGCATAAAGCCCTGTGTTCAATTTCTCAGGACCACATAAAGGAAAAAACCAGAAGTGGGGCTGTGATTCAAGGGTTAAGAGTGCTAGCCTTGAGCAAAAGAAGCTCAAGGACAGTGCCCAGGTCCTGAGTTCAAGCCCCAGGACTGGAAAAAAAAGGAAGAAATTCCTTAGAAAATTGTTTCAACCAGCTGCTTTGGCTTTTATTTCCTATACCTTATCTTTTGCTTCTTTGAAGTGAGTAGTAGATTCTGTTTATGATTAGGGAACTTTGAAATCACTAATTGTTATGTGTTTGGTTTGGGCTATATGGAGAACTCCAAATCGACTCTATCAGAAATTTCTTCAGAAACTGTGAAATACTGTAGAGGGAATCTGAATCAGAAGCCCTCCAAGAACATCTTTGAGGAATGTACCAGGTAAGTGGGTCATGGTAGCCCTTTACCTACTCTCTGTGGATGACTCCAAGAGTCAAAGGTTTCATTGTGTGACATAAGTTCTTTTTTTTTTTTTTTCAAATTTTTTATTGTGATTAAGAGGTTACATAATTTCCCAAATTTCACAGTATTGTGGGATAGTGATACTCAGTTAAAGTCACAAACACTTTCTAACTTTCCTGGAGTGAAATAAGTTCTTTTTTTTTTTTTTTTTTTTTGGGTCCTGTCGTGGGGCCTGAACTCAGGGCCTGGGCACTGTCCCTAGCTCTTCAGCTCAAGGCTAGCGCTCTACCACTTGAGCCACAGTGCCACTTCCGGCTTTTTTTTCTTTTTGCTTATGTGGTGCTGGGGAATCAAACCCAGGGCCTCAGGCATGCAAGGCAAGCGCTCTACCACTGAGCCACCTTCCCAGCCCCTGAAATAAGTTCTTATCAGAGAACTTTCTAAATTACAGCATTACCTTTCACATGTACATAATAATCACATGTACATAAGTGGCATACTGAAGAGTGCCCATGGTTGAGCTCTAGTATTTTTATATCCCTGTTATGGCTCTGGTCCATCATAGTAGTTGTGGTTTTAAATTTTTACTCTAGTGGCAATTTGGACTAGGGGAGATGGTTTCTAAAAGATTGGTCATGAAAGCTCTTGCTGTTCAGATGATGGTGATCCAGACCACGATATGACAGTGATAATGAAGATAAGCAAGTGGACTTTAGAAACATGTTGGAGGCTGGTGGGCAACCAAAGACTGCACGGGTTTTGGGAATATAAGAGTCATCAAGCTGAGAAAAAAACAACTGAATCTTTCCCTAAGTAGTAAAAGTTTGAACTCAGGGCCTTAAGCTTGCTTGTCTTGCTTGTTCCTTGAGGACTGTGCCACATGTGCCACACCTATAGTGCAGCCTTTTTTCTGTGTGTGTGCACACAAGCATACACATGCATGTACACACATGCTCACCAGTTCTGGGGCTTGAACTCAGGGCCTGGGTGCTATACCTGGGCTCTTTTTGCTCAAGGCTAATACTCTACCACTTGAGAGTCTCATGGACTTTGCTGTCTGGGCTGACTTTGAATCGTAATCCTCAGATTTCAGTTTCCTGAGTAGCTAGGGTTACAGGTGTGAGCCACTAGGCCCTGGCCATTCAGCTTTCTGATGGTTATTTTGGAGATGATGTGTTACAGACATTTCTACAAGTAATTTACTAAGGGTCTCAGTGTCCTAGGCAGCTTTCCTGTGCAGTTGTCACGTGGTGGGTCTGCATCTGGAATTTGTGATACTTTTAATAATACAGCCATTATTACAAAACAAACAAAAGGCAAGAAAACAAGCCAGGTGCTTTTCCATGCTTACACACCCTTCTTCCTTCATCTGGGTAACTTATTCCAAAAACGCCACATTATTTTCATATTCAGAGTAGGTGTTCTGTAAAATCTGTATGTTGTAGCTGCTACCTTCTCTCACAGCTCTCATTCATCAGTCATTAACTGAGCCATCAGATTTCAGGAGGTGATTGAGTTTGACATTGTTCCTTGAGCACCAGCACAGAACCTGTTTCTACTCAGCATTTATTGAGTAGTAAGTACTCATAAATAAAAAGCAAAGCTGTGTTCTGTCCCTCATCTATTCCCCAAGTAAGAATTTTTTTGCTTCTTTAAAAACAATAAGTAACGTTAAAAATAATATTTCCTACCATATGGCTATTAGCATGCAGTTGTGCACCTTTGTAAAACATACAGGCACATAGCTTTGAATGCCTTCAAAGTATTGTGTTTCTACTGGTATATTATTTATTACATAATTTTTCTCCTCTGTATATGTAAAAAATAACCATTAACTTTGGGAAAATAAACAGGATTAACTTCTTTTTAATTCTTTCTTTTTTTTTTTTTGTCGGTCATGGGGCTTGAACTCTGGGCCTGGGTGCTGTCCTTCAGCTCTTCAGTTTAAGGTTGGTGCTCTACCACTTGAGTCACAGCACCACTTCTGGTTTTTTGAGCAGTTTATCGGAGATAAGAGTCTCAGAGACTTTTCCTTCCCAGGCTGGCTTGGAACCGTGATCCTCAGATCTCAGCCTCCTAAATAGCTAGGATGACAGGCCTCAGCCATCAGTGCCTGGCTTCTGTTTTAACTAACAGCAGTAGAACATAGTGTACGCTTGTATAATTGCAAATTCTATATACTGAATTGTGTGTAATGATTGGTTTTCCCATATTCAAAGCTTGTTAATGCTCTAAAGCACCCTTATCTTCAGATTTTTATGCAACAAATGTTTGTAATTGTATAAATCTTTTCCTAGAATTGTCCGTAACTATTTGAGTTCAAAACCATTTGAAGAATACCAAGAAAGCTCATATTTTTCTCGATTTTTACAATGGAAATGGCTGGAAAGGTAGGTTTTAACTTAAAACTCAATAAAAGCAAGTAGTAATTCTCATAGTGCATACTAATGGATTTCTGCTTTTTTTTTTTTTTGGTCGGTCGTGGGGCCTGAACTCGGCCTGGGTGCTGTCCCTCAGCCCTTCAGCTCGCTACAGCGCCACTTCCGGTTTTCTGGTGGTTTATTGGAGATAGGAGTCTCACGGTCTCTGCTGCCCGGGCTGGCTTTGAACCGCGATCCTCAGATCTCAGCCTCCTGAGTAGCTAGGATTATAGGCATGAGCCACCAGCGCCCGGCTGGATTTCTGCTTTTCCATTTGTCAGAATACTACTAGAAATCTTGAGTTACATGTGGTATTTTTCACACAAAATAATTATATTTGGCAGTATAAGGTTTTGAACTTTGGGCCTCTTTAATAGGTAGGCATTCTACCACTTAAATCATGCCCCCAGTCCTTTTTAGTTTTAGTTATTTTGGAATAGGGCCTTTTGATGTTGTTGGTGTTTTGTTTTGCCTGGTCTTAGACCTAGGGACTCCTGTGCAGCATGAATCACCACCATGTCCAGACATGCTTGGTAGTTGAGATGGAGTTTTGTTCAATTTTTTTGCTCAGCCTGGTCTGGAACCATGATCCTCCTCATGTTTCTACCTCCTGAGTAGCTAAAATTACAGATATCTACTACTATACCCAACCCCAAGAATTATTAATAGATATATTCAGTGAACTCCATATTCAGTGAACTTCTTAAAATGACAGTTAATTCTCTTAGTATAATGGTTAGAAAATAAAACATATCCTGGATTTATAATACAATTATATAATATGATGCAGTGGTTAAGACTTTGCAGACTAGGCTACTGCTCAGATTCTCACAAGTGGCTTATTAGCTTTTATGATTTTTAAATCCTCCTTCTGTACAAATGACCTGAGAAATGAGTGAAAATGCTTAGAAAATGCTTAGCCCAATATCTGATGCACAGAGTATCTCCAAAGTGTCAGCTGCTGCTAGTATTATTATGATTACTATTGCTAAAATTATTATTGGGTGATTAAATTTTCTATTGTAGTTTGTACATTTATTTTGGGCATTAGATAAGCATCTTTGAGTCTTTTTCCAAGGGACAGTGTGCTGTATTTATGTCAGTGTCCTTTGGATAGTTTCAACAGGCTAAAAGGTATGCCTAAGACTGTGCCATGAGTTGTAAATGTGAATATATTTTAGTGTGCCCTTTTTTTGTGTGTGTGTGAAAATACCGTTCAGAGGGGTTACTTTCAAGAGATTTTAAATGTACTTATTCCTCTCCGTGCAAATCGGAGATGTCCCACCAGAGCAAGTGATGGTCCCTCAGCTTGGACACCTTGGTCCTAGGCACTCCCTTTGAGCAATATGGGTCAAGAAATGTGGCTAGGTCAAATAAATAAGCCCACATGAAAGTTAGATAGATTTTTCTGTTTTAAAGTGTCAGTGTAATATGTGACTTCAGTTTTTTTTTTTTTAATTGACTAGGCGGCCAGTAACAAAGAATACATTTAGATATTACAGAGTTCTAGGAAAAGGCGGATTTGGAGAGGTGAGTACTGCATGCCAATGATTAGCACTTCTGATCTAGGTGGGTAAAAGGCAAGGTCATGGAAAATGGTAAGCCATATGTACAGCGTCACCTTACCAGTACATTTATTTCCTCTCTGTGCACTTTGGACGTAATTTTAGCCATCCTTTAAAAGAAAGTTGTGGGTTTTGTTGTTGTTGTTGTTATTGTTTTGTCAGTCATGGGCCTGAACTCTCCCTCAGCTCTTCAACTCAAAGCTAGCGCTGTACCGCTTGAGCCACAGTGCCACTTCTGGCTTTTTACTGCTTATATGGTGCTGAGGAATCGAACCTAGGGCCTCATGCATGCAAGGCACTCACTCTGCCAATGAGCCACCTTCCCAGCCCCCAAACAGTTGTTTTTTAGAGTTTGATATTCAAGTTCAGGCAATTTGGATTGAAAGATTATGGCTTCCCTATTGTGGATCTTCTGTTATTTCCATATTTTAGTACTAGCTATAAAATTCATGCAGTACAAAGTATTTTGTTTTGTTAATAATGGAAAGGGATAGCTATGTTGCACATGATTCCAAATTCCTAAACTCAAACAGTCCTCCTATAGTCTCCCAGGTATCTGGGAGAAAGGAAAAAGCATTTGGAAGTCCATAGATTTCATTTTTATCGCCTGAGGGAAAGAAAATAAAAATCCAAAGGTGTTCAAAATGTGTCAATTTGGAAAAATCCTAGGGAAATGCCTCATAGATTCATGAAAGGTAGTCTTTAAATATGATAGCATGCAGTCTTTTCAGGTGATTTAAAGAGATGTTAATGATCTCATCAGTTATCTGGAGTGGCATACTCAGTCCGAGTTTATAACTCCGCAACAGAAACAAACATACAGTGTTTAAGCTTAGAAGGAGGTTATACTTCAAAAGCAAAAACCTTCGGAATTGCTGTAAGGTTGATTACAAAGCTGACCTAAGAGGTACTGCACTATAAGTGAGGTCTGTTTCACATTTGCATTTTAACATGGTAGGAAAGTGGACAGCATGGTCAAAGTCATCCGTTGGGGAGCCATAGAAGTATGCCTCAGACTCCGTTCTGGATTCCTTTGCAGGATATCCGGCGCAATGCACTAAATGCAATTGAGCATCTGCTTAGTAAGAATAAGGAGGCCCTCAAACCCTAGTACTGCCAAGAAAGAGAAAGAGGTAGAAAGAGAGGTGCAAATGTACTGCTATAATTGTAGGAAAATGACCAAACAAATTTTGGAATAGCTATATTCTAGGAGAATATGTAACTTTAATTATATTTTTTTCTCATAAAAATCTAAAAAAGCTGGGCACCGGTGGCTCACACCTGAAATCCTAGCTTTTCAGGAGGCTGAGATCTTAGGATCACTGTTCAAAGTCAGCCCTGGGGGGCTGGGAAGTTGGCTCAGTGGTAGAGCGCTTGCCTTGCATGCTTGAGGCCCTGGGTTTGATTCCTCAGCACCACATAAACAAAAAAAAAAAAACAAAGTCAGTCCTGGCAGGAAAGTCCATAAAACTTTTATCTCCAATGAACCAACAGAAAACCAGAAATGGTGCTGTGGCTCAAGTGGTAGAGCGCTAGCCTGTGGCTCAAGTGGTAGAGCGCTAGCCTTGAGCTGAAGAGCTGAGGGACAGTGCCCAGGCCCAGAGTTCAGGCCCCACGAACACACACTCACACACACACACAGACACACACACAGACACACACACACACACACATACACACACTACCTGGAAGTGGTGCTGTGGCTCAAGTGGTAGACCGCTAGCTTGAGCACAAAGAGGCTCAGGGACAGTGCCCAGGCCCTGATTTCAATCTTCTCTACCAAAAAAATTGTGTGTACATACCTTTTTTTCTTAAATTAGGTTTGTGCCTGTCAAGTACGAGCTACAGGAAAGATGTATGCCTGTAAAAAGCTTGAAAAAAAGAGAGTAAAGAGGAGGAAAGGTGAAGCTATGGCTTTGAATGAAAAAATTATACTAGAAAAAGTGCACAGTAGATTTGTGGTAAGTATTTTTACCATCCCTATGTAGTGCTGAACCAGCAGCACTCTGTCAGACCTCCTGCATGCTCTTCCTCATACCCTAGGATCACTCAATGCCTGGTTTATGTGAGTTTATGGGGGACTTTGCTCTGTAGTTTTATTTTTAGTCTCAGCCTTCTGCCTCATTTGGATCTTGCACAAGACAGCAGTGCTCATCCTATTTCTAAGTTGTGCTTTGTGAATCTGTTGCTGCCCTCTTTCCCATTCTGTCAGTCATTCTTCACACCTTCAGCTTTAGAGCATCTTGATGTTTGCTGAACTTACGCCAGGTGTTCTGCCATCTTTATCGTGAACATGGTAACTCTGATGAGCTTGAAAGATCTTTCTCCAGGCTTCCTTGTGTAAGCCTCCTCTCTGACCTCATTTTTCTCCTATCTTTTTGCCTTTTTTTGACAGCTGCTGGCACATTTACTACCATATTTCAATTGTGTACTCCCCTCCCCCTCTTTTTTTTCTGTCAGACATGGGGCTTGAACTTATGGCTTGCCACTGTCCCTGAACTCGTTTGCTCAAAGCTAGTGCTCTACCACTTGAACTGCAGCACAGCTTCTGGTTTTCTGGTGGTTAATTGGAGATAGGAGTCTCCAGGACTTTCCTGCCTGGGCTGGCTTGGAACCACGATCTTCAGCTCTCAGCCTCCTGAGTAGCTAGGATTATAGGTGTGAGCTACTGGCACCTGGCTAGTTCCTCCATTTTAACCTACACTGTTGTAGATAAGGATTCTACATGGGCAAATGAGTCAAACACATCCTAGAAAAGTGAATTCAGGCTTTAAGTAATGCCTCGTGTGGTGTGATTCTCATCTCCAAACCTAGTTTCTCTCCCACCCAGATGCCTATTTCCTACACTGTGTACTACAATATGAAGGCTGGTTAGAGAATACAAGTAATTTGAAGCCATCAATTTCCCAGCATTAGGGTCAACTGCAATGTGCTTGGGAGGACACGTGATGCATGTTTTCACATCCAACATCTGATATGGTAGTGTATGTGTAGCACACCAGTCTCATATGTAGTTATGTAAAAATCGTTAATTAAATGGACTTGTTTTGGAGTTGCTTTAAACATTGTGTAACTACCATAAAACAGAAATCTCAGATCTATGGGGCTGGGAAGGTGGCTCAGTGGTAGAGCGCTTGCCTTGCATGCATGAGGCCCTGGGTTTGATTTCTCAGCACCACATAAGCAAAAAGAAAAAGCTGGAAGTGGCGCTGTGGCTCAAGTGGTAGAGCACTAGCCTTGAGCTGAAGAGCTGAGGGACAGCGTCCAGGCCCAGAGTTCAGGCCCCACGACTGGACCCAAAAAAAAAAAAAAAAAAAAGGGGCGCTGTAGCTCAAGGGATGGGGCACTTCACCTTGAGTTGAAGAGCTGAGGGACAGTGCTCAGGCCCAGAGTTCAAGCCCTATGACCGACAAAAAAAAAAAAAGAAAAGAAAATCAAGTTAAATTTTAATCAAGTTAAACTTATAGTGCAGCCAGTATTATTTTGTTTTAGGAAAACAAGTCCTCTACCAGTCTTTGAAATGCTGGAATTCCTAAGCCATTTTTAAATTCTAGAGAGAATGAGCTTCCTTTTTGTGGAGAGACAGTGCAGTTAAACACATTTTAATTTTTCAGCAATCTGAAGGTCAAAAAGGAAGAGCTTCTGTTTCAGGCACATAGCAGGGCTTTAAGCAATTGTTAGCAGTCAGAATTGGGAGCCTTGGAGACACCTTGCCCTTGCCCCTCCCCAGGAACTGCCAGCACAGCCTCACAGTCAGCCTGCTGTGGAAGCCTCCTGGGGCACTGTTCAGGAGTCTGTTGAGGTGAGTCCTGCTCATTGTGGGCAATTACCCAGAATAGAGTCCTGAGAGTCTTCTCAGGAGTCCTGCTTTATGTGAGGCCCAGCAGCAGGGTGACTCATCCAGGACAAGAATGGTTTTGTGAATGTCTGGAGATAGCCCGCAAAGCAGCCCACTAGAACCCAGGCGTTTTGAAAGAGAGCAAGCTTGGGCCTTCTTTGGCCAAAGGCCAGACCCTAAGCTGTGCTGTTTTACATCTGTTATTATTTGGTGAAAAGGTTAGAAACTTAATAAAAGTCCTAGAAGCATTCCTAGAGTACTCCATCTTTTTGTATTTTAATTTTTTAAAACATTTTATTTGGATGTTTTATATAAATTGAATAATATCTTTCCTTTTACTTCTTTTTTTAATGATTATATTTATAAAGAAGACAATTGTAGTAGTGGCTAATTCATTAGAGCAATTGGGCCAGTGAGTGAAAGAATCAGGTACCAAGTTTGAGTTCCAGTCTTGGACCTAAAAAAGACCAAAGAAACAAAACAAAATATAATGAAGCTGGGCATCAGTGCCTCATATCTATAATCCTAGCTGTACAAGAGGATGAAATCTGAGGATTGTGGTTTGAAGCCACCCCAAGCAGGAAAGCTTATTTCCAGTTAACTAGCAAAAAGCCGGAAGTAGAGCTGTGGCTCAAGGGGCAGAGCTCTAGCCATGATCACAGAAGCTGAGGAATAGTGCTCAAGCCCTGAGCCTTAAGCGTTAAAATAAATAAAGAACAACAAGAAAATAAAAGAAACATGATTATTGTTACCAAAGCCTGTGTAAGATGTCCTCAAAATCCCTTGAATTTGCCCTGGTATACTGCATAAATATGATCATTTTCTGTGTGTAACACTGTGGTAGTCACACACACAGCTTCTCTGTGTAGTTGCATGGTATCAAATACAGAAGTATCTGAAATACATGTAGTATATTTAATGACACTCAAGAGATACCTAAGTCCAAAAGTAATGGGAAAAATAAAAATCTTGTGAGTTTATATGAAGTCTATTTTATAAAATTGTTCAAAAAATCAGTTTGGACAATTTTTTTTAAGTTAAAGCACAAAACTGAAGAATGTTGATCAAAAAAGTTCAACTTTAGTATACTATAATTATCATTTTGAGGGAAATTAGAAATTAAAAACCCAATAAGTATTTCATTTCTAATTTATTTTGTGTTGGTCATGGGGTTTGAACTCAGGGCCTGGGTGCTATCCCTCAGCTCTCTTGCTCTCTTGCTCAAGGCTAGCACTCTACCACTTTGATCCATAGCTCCAGTTTTTGAGTGGTTAATTGGAGATAAGAGTCTCACAGATTTCCTGCCCGCCCTGGGCTGGCTACCAACTTGGATCCTCAGATCGAGTTGCTAGGATTACAGGTGTGAACCACTGTTGCCTGGCTCCAGTGATTACTTCATATGCTAATTTAGATTATATCCTTTAAATGAATGGGTAGTTGGGGAATTGGTCACTTTCTTGCTGTTTGAGCTTGTCTTGCCATTTTCTCTTACATGTATCTTCTGAGATAAAAGATAGTATTTTCCATCATGTTCTCTTAGATTCTTTCATAAGGGACCCCCAAAAAATGCAAGAGCAAGGACCCTCTTATCTTGGGAAGAACATTAGATGGTTCCTAACCACACTAATAGCATGTTCTAGACCTCAGAACTAACATTGAAAATGAGTACTCCATCTTTTTTTCCCATGGTCCTCTTGTGTGTTTTTCATTGTTGTTCCTTTCCTTGTAGAGACTTAAAACCTGAGAATATCCTCCTGGATGATCATGGTAAGTGCCCAGGCCTTTTGTGCCTGATCATAGACTGTTCGGGGCCTTGAACATAGAAGTTAACATGTACTTAGCCAGTTAATGCAGAATGGAAACAACACCAAAAAGAAACTCCTTGGTATGTGCTCCTTAATTTAAAAAAAATATGGACGACCTGGCCATTCCCTGGATTTAGGTAAGAAGCAGAAATGGTCATATTTTTAGTTAATTATTAAGTTTTTGAAGTAAACTCAAAGTAAAGCAATTGTCCTATTTCTTACAGTTGACTCACATGTTGCTTTATTTCTTAGATTCCTGGTTTTTGCCCATCTAAATATTGGCAAGCTGCCCTTGATGCTGTCCTTATATCACGGAGCAGGGTACAGGTGCCTGCTTGAGGGCCCTGTTAGAGTGCGTGGAGAATGGCCTTGGGAGGCCAGCTACCTCTTAGCAGCATGGAGGCCACCCTGACCTTGGTGTACCTTGAATGTCGGAGGGGTCCCCACCCTGAGAACGCCTGCTGATTGGCACATAAACCAAATAAGCAGGAGTTTCTATCAAGTGATTATTCATAGCTACAATGAGTGTTACAAGGCTAGGTGCTGGGGCTAAGCCTATAGTCTGACCTGTTTTTTGTTTTTGTTTCTGTCAGTCATGGGGCTTGAACTCAGGGCTTTGGTGCCCTCTCTGAGCTTTTGTGCTCAAAGCTAGCACGGTACCACTTTGAACCACAGCTCCACTTCTGGTTTTCTGAGCCTTAAGTGGAGATTTTCTTGCCCAGGCTGGCTTTGAACTGGTCCTCAGTTTTCAGCCTCATCAGTATTACAGGATTTCAGGTGTGAGCCACCTGTGCTAGGCCCAACCTGTTTTGGAGGATGAGATTGAGAAGATTGTAGTTCTAGGTGAGCCCAAGCCAAAACATTTGTGAGACTCCCATCTCAACCAACAACTGGGCTCAGTAGTACATGGCTGTCAGCACAGGTATGGTAGGGAGATTTCAGTGCACACTGACCCAGACAGAAAATGAGACCCTATTTCAAGAATAACTAGGGCAAAAGGACTGGCAGTGTGACTCAAGCAGTAGAGTACTTGCCTAGCAAGTGTGAAGCCCTGAGTTTAACCCCTAGTACCACACACACATACAGTGAAGTGAAGGAAGGGGATAAGACAAGATGTGAGTGAGGGCTGGGAAGGTGGCTCAGTGGTAGAGCGCTTGCCTTGCATGCCTGAGGCCCTGGGTTCGATTCCTCAGCACCACATAAGCAAAAATGAAAAAGCTGGAAGTGGCGCTGTGGCTCAAGTGGTAGAGCGCTAGCCTTGAGCTGAAGAGCTGAGGGACAGCGCCCAGGCCCAGAGTTCAGGCCCCACAACTGGACCACCCCCCCCAAAAAAAGACAAGATGTGAATGAAAGGGTAACAAGGCATCTGAGGTACCCAGAAGGGAAAGCAGGCATGGGGCAATCAATGCAAATGTGTGCCTCCATGTGTATCCATGCCTGGTGCATTCTGCTTGTTATTATGCATGAAGGAAGGTGCTGGAAATCTTTATGGATGATTTAGGTTCTTAGCCTGTTGCTTGTGGTATACAGCACAGCAGTATTGACCAGAGGCAGAGTTGGATCAGTTTTAAAGAAAGGGTAGCTTGCGTGCATGAAGCCCTGGGTTCAGTTCCTCAGAACCACATACAGAGAGAAAGCCGCAAATGGTGCTGAAGCTCAAGTGGTAGAGCACTAGCCTTGAGCAAAAGAAGCTCAGGGAGCCAGTGCCGGTGGCTCAGGCCTGTAATCCTACTACTCAGGAGGATGAGATCTAAGGATCACAGTTCAAAGCCAACCTGGGCAGGAAAGTCCATGAACCTCTTGCCTCCAATAAACCACCAGAAAACAGGAAGTGGATCTGTGGCTCAAAGTGGTAGAGTACTAGTCTTGAGATGAAGAGCTTAGGGACAGTGCCCAGACCCAGAGTTCAAGCCCCAAAACCGAACAAAAAACCAAGCAAAAAAACCCCAAAAAACAAAAAAGCAAACTTTTCAGGCACACATTTAATTTCATGCTATTAATGAAACTGAATTGCTGCATGGAATATTACCAAATACATAAAAATTAAATGTAATTTTATATTTAAGGGTTTTAGAGTATGAAATGCTATTTTTTGATCCATGGCTTTTTCTTTTCTTTTGTTTGAGGGATTGAATGTAGTACTTTGTCTTGCTAGACAAGCTCTCTACCACTGAGCTGCATCCCTAGCACTTACCTGTGGCTTTTTTTTTCTGCAATTACTATTGTTATTAAAATGTCATTACTTGTCTGAGTGAACTGTGTATTATGTTTGAACATACCTAGGACACATTCGGATTTCTGATCTTGGTCTAGCCCGGGAAGTCCCTGAAGGAGAGACAGTTCGAGGAAGAGTTGGAACCATCGGCTACATGGGTGTGTGCAAATCCCCCTTGGTGCTTCTTGTCTTCTCTCTCCAGATGTCCTAGTGCTGTAGAACATAGAGAACTTACCACATGAGGCCTGGAGCTCAGTCCTAACACAGCAGATGCTTTCGTGATATAGAAACCTCTAAAGAGTCCCTACTCTTCAGCTATCTTTTTCAGATGAGTAGTGTGGCCCACAGAAGGTTCTGAGTCCTGATGTTCGTGGTTGTGTGTGCACAGTCTGGACAAATTGAGGGATTGACTCCTCATGCTGTCTGAGTCCTATGTGTGTGGATATACAGACTTTCTGAGAAACCATCCTCTTCTGCTTATTCCAAAGATCTTTGGCCAAGTGCATCCTTTAGGGCCTCCAAGGGAGCTCCTGGCCTTCCAGAATGCTACAGAAACACTTGTGCCCACTCAGTGGTTCTGAGGCTTTCACTGACTTGGGGAACAGCTGATAACATACTTGCAGTACTTGAGGAGCCCTTAGGAGTCAGGGCTTCCCTCTAACATTATTTCCTACACTACTTGCTCTGTTGCAGTCCAGTTCTTCCAGTAAATATACACAGACATTTTATTATTTGTTTTTATTTTTTGTGCTAGTCCTGAATCTTGAACTCTGGGCCTGGACTGTCTCAGAGTGTTTGTGCTCAAGGCTACCACTCTACCACAGCTCCACTTCCAGCTTTTTGATGGTCTCATAGATTTTCCTGCCCCAGGCTGACTTCAAACTGTGATCTTCAGATCTCAGCCTCCTAAATAGCTAAGATTACAGGTGAGAGGCACCAGTTCCTGGCTACACATTTTATTTTATTTTTTGTCGGTCATGGGGCTTGAACTCTAGGCCTGGGCGCTGTCCCTGAGGTCTTCAGCTCAAGCCTAGCACTCTACCACTTGAACCACAGCGCCACTTCTGGTCTTTTCTGTTTATGTGATGCTGAGGAATCGAACCGAGGGCCTCATGCATGCGAGGCAAGCAGTCTACCACTGAGCCACCTTCCCAGTCCCCTGGCTACATATTTTAAAATAACACTTCATTGAAGTATCATTCACACATCCTAAAGTCCAATTGAATATATAGTTCAGTGGGTGTTCGTAGATATACAGAGTTGTGCACCTGTCACCACTGTCACTGCTTCCTAATTTCAGAAGGTATTTATCACCCCATGAAAGAAACTTTACTCCCTCTTCCTCCCTTCTCCATCAGGCCTGGAAACCACAACTTCTATCCAGTCTCTGGATTCGTGGATTCCACCTACTTTCTAAAATAGAATAATGGTGCTTAGTGCTCTGTGTCTGCTTTCACTTAACATATTTTTCAGGTCATCGTGTAACACAGATTAAATGTATAATCAATTGTTTGGAATTAAAGGGAGTTTTTAAAACAATATTTAATGCAATTAAATTTCCCTGTATTTGTTACATAGCTCCAGAAGTTATCGATAATGAAACGTACACATTTAGTCCTGATTGGTGGGGACTTGGCTGTCTGATATACGAAATGATTGAGGGACATTCTCCATTCAAAAAATTCAAAGAAAAAGTTAAGCGAGAGGAGATTGATCAAAGAGTGAAGACAGATACTGAACAGTACTCCGAGAAATTTTCAGAAGATGCCAAATCCATCTGCAGGATGGTAGGTTGTGGTCTGTAACAAGTTCCAAAACTAAACTTCTAACTCATGCTATTTCTCACTGAGTGAAAGAAACAGTAAGTCAAACAGGGAGGCCGTCTATAGTATGTCCATATCCCAGCTTGGTAAGCCTGCGGGCCAAGAGCAAGGATCCAGGCTCAGCCGCAGCTCTCAGGGAACTGCCTCCTTCCTGACACCCTGCCCAGGGGATTTCATCTTAGGTTAGACAGCGCTTGCCGACAAAGGTGAGGCCTTGAATTCAAACCCCAATACCACCAAAAAAAACCCTTACTAAAGTAAGCAGCTGACATGACATCGTTGGGTTGTATTTTCCCAACCCCTGCTTTAGTCTGTATTTAGAGCTACACTGGTGGGAATCTGCCTTGCTCTCATAACCCAATGTTGGTCCCCATGATCCACTGATAAACCCCCCCCCCCCCCCCCCCCCCATCTCCTCCCCACTCTTGCCCATTCTCAGGAATCTCCAAACCTCACACCTTGCCCTTTCTGGAAGTGTACTTTGCCCCAGGTGGGACTCTGTGCTGCAGCTGCCTGACTGCACAACCCATCAGCGCCCTTATTCAACTACACTTAAACCCCAGGCCCCCACCCCTGCGCCTCTACCTTGTGTCTCCAACTCAGTTTGGTGTGTTTGGTGTCCCTCTTCAGTGCTGAGCAAGTCTGATCTGAGTTGTTGAGGTGTCTGTCTCCTTTCCTTTCGTCTCCTTGATCTTTCCTAACACATCTTTTAATGTGCTGATTGTTAGTATAGCCTTTTTTTTTTTTAATATGAGAGACAGAGTCTTGGGCACTAATGGCTTACCCTGTAATTTTAGCTACTCAGGAAGCTAAACTCTGGAATTTGAGAATCAAAGCCAGCCTGGGCAGACAGATTTCTTAATCTCCAGGTAACAACCAAAAAGCCAGAAGTGGAGATAAGGCCCTAGTGTACTAACCTTGAGTGGATAAAGTTAAGCAAGAATAGGAGACCCTGGGTTCAAGCCCAAGTACTGGTACAAGAGGGGTGAGGGAGGAGAAAATGTGTCTTGCTATGTTGCTCTGTCCATAGACTGTCATTGAACTAGACTCAAAGCCATCTTCCACCTGAGCTTCGTGAGTAACTGGGACCACAGACATAAATCTCCATACCCAACAGCCTAATGCTTTTTGATTAACGGTAATTGAGGGAGGCTTATTTGTATTTGTAATAATTGTGAATATGTATGTAAAAATATTTTGGAAAGGACATTTTAAGTATATATTAATTGTAGTATTCTACTAAATCTAAGTATATACTACATTTTCTATTTTGAGTATATGTTATTCTAGGATGAGATTTGCTAAATTTCTGCCTCAACCAAGAGCTTAGTAACCTAATAAAAAGTATAAGTGGTTTCTAAGTATAACTTAGATAGTTCTGAATATTTTTATTTTCTTTTAAAAATCCCTCAGTTTTATGTAATTAAAAAGTTTATTAGGGCTGGGAAGGTGGCTCAGTGGTAGAGCGCTTGCCTTGCATGCCTGAGGCCCTGGGTTCGATTCCTCAGCACCACATAAGCAAAAAGAAAAAGCTGGAAGTGGCGCTGTGGCTCAAGTGGTAGAGCACTAGCCTTGAGCTGAAGAGCTGAGGGACAGAGTTCAGGCCCCACGACTGGAACTCCCCCCCCCCCAAAAAAAAAAAAAAGAAATTGCTTTCTATTTTTTGGGCCTCTTCCAAGGAACCTAAACATCTATCATCTGTGACTGTCTTGCCCCTGCGTACAGAGACTCTGTGGTGCTTCCTTGTGGCTCAATAATGCTCATTCCACTGCCACCCTAGCCCTGCAGTAGCACAAATAGTCTGGACACAAGTCCAACGAGTACTGCCCAAACTCTCCAGTGGCCTCCATGATACAGTGGAGGCAGACAGCTCCGGCCCCTTGGGCACTGAGTGGCCTGGATCTGAAGCCTCTGTCACCCTGCCTTATCCCATCCACCTGGAACATAACCATGGTCTATTCCTGTCCTGCCTCAGGACTCTTTTGTACCTGCTACTCTGTATTATCACTGTCTGATGTGTTCTTTGAGGTATTCATTTATATTTATTGTCTGTCCCCTTCCCAGGTCAACTCTACCAGGATAGGACAGCAGAGCTTTTCAGGGTCTCATTACCTGCTGTGCTCTGGTGTCTAGAGCAAAGCTGGCATAAGAAGGTCCTAAGCCTGGGCTGGGAAGGTGGCTTAGTGGTAGAGTGCTTGCGTGGCATGTGTGAAGCCCTGGGTTTGATTCCTCAGTACCACATACACAGAAAAAAGCCAGAGGTGGAGCTGTGGCTCAAGTGTTAGAGTGCTAGCCTTGAGCAAAAGCAGCTCAGGGACAGTGCCCAGGCCCTGAGTTCAAACCCCTGGACTGGCAAAAAAAGAAAACAAACAAAAACCCAAGAAGATCCTAAGCCAGGCACTGGTGGCTCACACTTCTAATCCTAGCTACTCAGGAGGCTGAAAGCTGATGATCATGGTTTGAAGTTAGCCCAGGCAAGAAAATTCTGTGAGATTCTTATCTACAATAAACTACCAACCCCCCCCAAAACCTGTTTAAAAAAAAAAACAACGAAATGAATTATGGTTTAAGTGGTAGAACTCTAGCCTTGCTCAGAAGAAGCTCAAGGACAGTACCCGGGTCCTGAGTTCAAACCAGTACAAAAGAAAAAAAGTCTTCATTATTATTTCTTTTAATGAATATTGAATGAGCTTCACAAGAAGGGAAAAATGGGAGACCATTGTTAATTGCAGTCTAGCTCTGTGGTCCGCTATGTGCAAGTTAGTGACTGCCGGGGTACTGGGCAGCTCTGCTCTCAATACTTTACCCTCTACATAACACTGGCTTGTCCTCTCTTATGAGTTAGGCCACGAGGATCAGGTTGGATTTATTCCAAGAATGAAAAATCAGTAATTATCTTTTTAACAGCTTCCAGAAGAGATTTTGATAAAATTCAGTGCCCATTTATGATGAAAAGCTGTCAGCAAACTAAAAAAGGGAACTTCCTTTTATTTATTTATTTATTGGGTCCAATCATGGGGCCTGAACTCTGGGCCTGGGCGCTGTCCCTCAGCTCTTCAGCTCAAGGCTAGCGCTCTACCACTTGAGCCACAGCGCCACTTGCGGCTTTTTTCTTTTTGCTTATGTGGTGCTGAAGAATTGAACCAGGGCCTCAGGCATGCAAGGCAAGCTCTCTACCACTGAGCCACCTTCCCAGCCCCGGGAACTTCCTATTAAAAAATAATCTCTAAGCCGGGCACTGGTGGCTCATGCCTGTAATCCTAGCTACTCAGGAGGCTGAGATCTGAGGATCGAGGTTCAAAGCCAGCCCAGGCAGGAGAGACCGTGA